GCTCAGAAAGGCTGCGCGGAGTTATAAGAAGGAAAACAATTTGTTTATTCTGTATCTTGAAACAACTGGATCAGCTATTGAAATGCAAGGAGCTTTCCTCAGCTGACAACCAGAGGTTGCTCTCTGGGTGGCTTTTCTACTAACATAAAACACAGCCCAGGATTTCGGAGAGCTTTTGGGGCACTTGGGCCAAACTCGAAATGAATCTAGGTATTATTTTTTCGTTTTATTTGGAAAACTTCTGTAGACTGTAGGTGCTGCGTGTTTCCAATCTGCATCTGGTATTTGCTCTGAATCTTTGGGTCCGTTGGAATCCAAAGCCAGAAAGGTTCACGCAAAGTGTTGTGACCCAAAACTGTTTAATCTTAGATCTGCGGTCTCGGAGCCCGCAGCCTGACTTGAATACCTGATGAGTATCAGCTGAGCAAGCATCACAGAATCTGACTGCTGCCCATGAACCAGAAACCTTTACCCCAGGGAACAAGAAAGTAAATTGGCTTTTGTGCGGGAACGGCCAGCTTGACGGGGACTGCGGTTTCCTCGTGCTCCATCCCAGACCCCGCGGTACACTGCTGTGAGGTTCTCCTTCCTTCTAAGTGAAGCCATATGAAGAAAGAAAAAAAAAAAAAATCCACTTTTCTGAGAGTGACTGAAGTAACCAATTTGTTCAAGCTATTCTTCCGGTTGATGCATTTTTAACTGAAAAAACACCGATATATTGAAGGCAACTTGAAAAATGCCAAAAGGGAAGAATGGGAAACAGAACTGAAAACTTTGCAATTAAAAAAAAAAAAAAAAAAAATGAAGTGCAAGCACGTGAGTGGGTGGACCCTCCAAAACGGTGTAAAACTCCCATGAGAGTATGAGTTAGATACGAGTTCATCTAGAAAATAAGACCCTAAAAGTAAGCTCAACATTTATGACTGAGTCCCCAACGTGATCAGCTCACTGTGTCATGCCTGCAAGGGGAGGGGGGGGGGAAATCCCCTGATTTAAAGGTATCCAGTGAGATAGGTCTGCATTTCACTTGGCCAAGGTTTTTACCTGAATGTCGTTCCCAACTACTTCTTTGTATCAACGTACCCAAAAAAAAGGTCCCTGAGAGCTCCAGCAGCACATGGCTCAAAGAAAGAGACGGGCACAGATTTATACTTAATATTTCTGTGTGTAGGTTCTAGGTGGCAAAAGGGTGATGTGTAGGAGAAATGTAAGTGAAAAGATAGCACAAGCCTGGTGCCACAAGTTCGTGGGTAAAAATGTGCATCACTGGCTTCACATTTAGAAAGCACCAGCTATCTTCAGCGAGGTTTTGCTGGGCTGTGGTATCGGGCTCTTCTTGCTGGCATTTCAAACTCACTTTATCCTTGATGAACATTGATTTACCTTATTATGCCCAACAGCAAGGCAGGCAGCAATTTGTCCATAAAGTTGAAGAGACAGGAGGCAGCAGTATAGCCTCCCGAGCCTGGGAATGTGGGTCAAGAACCAGATTTGGGTTAATTACCAGGGGTAAAAAGATGTTAAGCACATGTAGCACCGCAGACCTGTTTTCCTGGTACTGATGGATTACAGAGTTCATTGAGCAGCCCGATTTGCTGTTACCCAATTTGCACCGGGTAAATTAGTTCAAGCAAGAGTAATTCAGCTCCACTGTGATCAAGGTTTTGGCTCTTGATGATATTTTCTGTGAGCTGTGAAGTGATGTTGATTTGTAATATTTCATTTACTCGCCCACAGTAGGTGACAGAAGTGGCTGCTACCCAGCAGAACAGCCAAGTCAATAGAGTCTATTTACTGTGAACTTTTTACCTTGTTTCTGAGTAGCTATTCTTTAGATGCACCCCTCAGCTCTTCCTCGTAATGTTTCCAAACAGCAAGATATTTCATTCTCTGCCTTTTCTCTTTGTGTTACTAAATCCATCATCTCACTGGAAAGCTTACGGTGTTGTCAGAAAACGCATATTATCCCGTGGATTAAGGCTGTTTAACTTGAACGTGACAAGTTGTTTAAAAATAGCCTGGTTTATGCTTTGTATTCGTTCTCCGCTCCAAAAGTGTCTTTCATAACAATGTAAATAAAGAACTCCTAGAACTGATACAGCAGAGCTGGCATGGTTGGAGGAAAAGGCTCAGCTATTACCCAACTGACGTTAATGCAACATAAATCTTAATTATATTGAACAAGCATCACTGCGAGGTCTTAAGAGATGGAGTCATTAGGTAACAGTTTGCAGTGAGCATTTATCTTCAAATTCCCAGGCCTCCTTAATTTCCTTTGTAGTCTCTTAAAGGGGTTGGAAACGAGAGGTGTAATATGGACTCACTTTACAGTATCCATAGCTCACCCCCCAGCATAGGCTAGAAATTGCTGAAATAACCATCTCTAATCGTACAGACCATGGGCTTAATCACATCTACACAGGACGAGGTTGCAGACGGCGTTACCAGCTCCTGGGTTACTCCTGCGTGCTGTCCTCTCACCACGGGGACCCATGAAGTGTCTGTCCTTCCGCTCACCCACATGTGCGTCACAGGGCTGCGACTTGCAAGTCTTGTCCAAACTGGATACTGGGTGTGGTGTTCTTCCTTTTAATCCCCTCTAAAATTTTCTCTCCTCGGAGACGTTTCCATATTCAGCTATTAAATGACAGCAGGACTCCAGATATTGTTTCCAAAGTACTATTTTTTTTTTTTACCAAATTGCTTTCAGCTAAAAACAGCAAGTAAAATGAATGAGAATGGATTTTTATTCTTTTTCTCTCTCTTTGGTTTATCTCACAGTTGTCACAATCACGCCATACTCAGAATTCCATGTGCGGGTTGGAAGGGGCCTCTAAAGGCCATGTAGTCCAACCCCCCTGCCATAAGCAGGGACATCTTCAACTGGATCAGGTTGCTCAGAGCCCCGTCTAGCCTGACCTTGAATGTTTCCAAGGATGGGGCATCTACCAACTTTTTGGGCAATCTGTTCCAGTGTATGCAATAGTAAATTTTTCTTTTTTGGCGTGACTTATTAAGGAATCCCTTAAATTTTAACAAACACAAAAATCAGTATTAAATTTATTTCTAAAAAGCATCTTTGGTTTCTCAAAGGTTTCTCACATTCTTAGTTGCAAGGCTTCAACCTGAGCTTTATGTGGGAGCTCTGTGCATTCGCCTTTCAGTATCAGCCCTCCTCTAAATTGCCTAAAAGCATTGCTACCAACTCATTAGTCACTTATTTAAAAACTTAGCCTCCCTCTCCTACAGCTTCATTAGGACATCTCCTCCTCCCTAAGAAACCCTGGGCTTTCTCATCACTGCTAGCAGAAGAGGTAAAATAAAATCGTTCCCGAGTCACCCTAGATTAAATGCATCCGGGAGCAGTCTATCAGAAGACACCGAAGGATTAAGCAAGGCTGTGTTTAACACAGCCCCTCGCACCGCAGGGAACTGCTGGGTGCACGGGGAGGCTGCAGCCCACTGAGGCTCAGGCTCTGCCCCGGGGCTTTGACCACCACAGTTACCAAGAGAGTGGTGTAGGTAGATTGGCTTTAGTTGCTCGGTCGCGTCTGGTCTCCAAGGTTGGAAAAGATGTTTTATCAGGGTCGTGGTTCCCTCCAGAGCAACCTGAATTCAGGCTGGAGGGAGCAAATGTTCCTCCTGGGTGTAATATGGTATAATCATCTACCTGGCTTCAAGAATTAAGGAGGCTGAAAATATGCATTTTAATTATTTTTCTTTAGCAAGCACGTTGCTTAGGGAGCTCTGATAGATGTTCTCTACCAAGCCCTTGTGAGTAACCCCCACAGTTGCCATTCCCATGGCGAGAGGAGCGAGTGGGGCTTGAGCTCCGGCTGCTGCCTGCCTGCAAGGGCCGGGTGCCTGCTGGGGACGCGCAGACGGGCTGGGGAGAGGCAGCGCTGTGCAGCTTATCTGAACTTTAAAGAGAAAAACTCCCGGCCCTGACTGGAGATGCAGTGACACATTTGGGCACAGAGATGTTTATGGAGAAGGAAATCTCAATAGGAAGGTGGAAGTATTTAATGATCTTTGTTTATCATCCTTTTCCCTTAAAGCTAAAAAAAAGGCAGCAGGAAGGAGCAGGAGCAGTATAGTTTCACAGCTAGAAGTTAAAGTCTTGCTTTTTGTTGTTAACATTGCTGTCACCCAGCAAACGCTCCCCTGGAGCTGGCTGACCTGCTGCAGAAGGCTACAAAAGTGGCTTTTTGTCCCCATCTGGCAAAGCTGGGAGCGTGGGTGCTGCCAGCTCCCGGGCAGGGAAGCCTTGCTCCAGCCGAGAGCCTGCAACACGTCAGCGAACGGCCCGAAGGACACGGCATCATGGCTTTGTCAGGGACCTGGACGCTCAACGTGTGCTGGAGCAGTGTTCTGCATCTGGTTATTGTTGAAGTGCCTTTTTTTCCTTGATTTAAGGGTATTTTGTCATTTAAGGTATTTTATCCATCACTTAGCTATTGCTGCCCAGAAGGGGAGGACAATAAGCAAGTGTTTTATATCTGAAACCTGGGCTTAAAATAGTAGATGTACGGTCAGATCTAGGCTGTGTTAGCAGCCCGCACAAAAACTACTTCTGACTTGTGTAATGATTAGTAGTAAAAGGTTTCTGTTCCTCATTTTAATACATTAAATATTGTGATTTGCAAGACTGTAACAGCCATCTGCAGCGTGCACGGAGTGCGCAGGACCGCCAACCGCTTTGCAAAGTTTTTTCCAGAATTTTGGAGTATTCAAAACCTGGTTCCCTCTACCACGTGGGCAACACCAAGAACTTCAAAACCTGCTTCCCAGCTTGCCTAGGAGCCTGGCTTTTCACCAAAACAATAGATTTTGTGATAAAAGTGTTATTTAAGATATGCCGCCTGCTGTTTTCTCGCTGGTTGGGAAAGGGGGGAAGACGTGAGCTGGTCTGGATCCGAGGGGAAGGATGTGTGGTGGGTCCCCACCTGAACTCACTGCCCGTGGGGCATCGCTAACCCTCTGCTCTCTGCTTTCTGCAGGCCCTCCGGGGAGGCGAGGGAAGCCCGGCCGGCGCGGAGAACCCGGTAAGCATCGCCCCGCGGGTGTCATTGGGCTGGATGGGAACCTTTCGATAACGAATGCCGGTCACCTGCATCTAATGGGCTGCGGAACGGGGGCTTCCCTTATCCCTGCGTGCTGGATATGAAGGTTTTTATAAAAACAAAAAAATGAACCAAAACACAAAAAGACCTCCCAAAACTAAACCAAGCCTCCAAATCTAACAAAACCAAAACTCAAAACACCTGGTGGTGTTGCGTATTTTATCATTCCTTCCATTTTTCCCTTGTAGCATTCAGACCTGTTGTTAACCCATCCAACAGTGCAGTGGGACTGTGAATTAGCACAAAAATATAGAAGCCCCGGAGTTGTGCTAGATGGGAGGTGGGCACTGGCTTGTTCCCTGCATGTGAACGTGTCCATATGTTGCCTGGCTGGTCCCTTGCGTGTGGTGGATGGTGTCTGCATTCCGGGGTTGGGGATAGGCAAATTGTAGCCACCAGCCTTGGGCACATCCCCTGAGCTCTCAGCGTGCTCTTGGACCGGGTGAAACCGCAGACCAGCCTTGTTGGGAAGTTTTATTTGAGCTAACTGTTTGCTCTAATTATATGCTGCTGTCATTTTGGTATCTGGTGGTTGGGTTTTTCTTCTCCGTCTTGTGGAATGGGAAAGCACCGACCCCCTTTCAGCTGGGGAGAAGTGCTGTTTACATTCTGCTGTTAGGTCTGAAGTGCTGCTGGAGAGGGGAGGGATGTGGTTGGCATTGCTCTTTCTAAGGAAAACAGACAGGGAATGTGCCTAGAAAGCCGCACAGTTCACAACTGCCTCTGCGTGTCGGAAAGCAGCAGATGAAATTTTGCACACCTCAGCTCTTAGGTTCTCGAATGATGAGTGAATGAATGGGGACCGGGTAGAATTTTGTGTGGCGAGGAGGCTGTTCTCTGCTGCCTGTTGCTATAGCAAATACACGGCTGGGTTTGCAAAAAGGGCAGCATAACTTTCTGATCGGCAATATTTTGAAGGATTTTTTTAGCTCTGGGGAAAGGAAATCAGGGGTTTGTGCTGCAGACCGTGGACCGATCTCCATAGAAGACAGGCAGGCATTTCCCTTCTCTCTTCCATCGATGGTATTTTGTGGTATGTCCTGTGTTTTCTGAGTTATTTTTGCTCCTGAACCAGGGATTACTCATGGCCAGGGAGTGGGTACTGCACTTGTGGGGGTGGTGATGGACCCTAGCTGGCTTCATTGAACCCCGTTTTGCTAGCAGTTGGGCTGTAGGAGTGAAGAGCCACCAGGTAGCTTGGATTGTTTTTTTGTTTGTTGTTTTTTAAATGTCGCGGTGCTCCTTAAAGCTCTTTGTGGAGTACAGCATTCAGCCCGGGGCAGCTGGTGAGGTCAGCCGATGAAGCTGGTTTTTATACGCAGGTGTTTATGTAGACGGTGTCCCAGATGTGTCTCTAGCCCATGTGAAGATCTGGGAGGTAGCGCTGAGCTTGAGCATACCCTGGCTCTTCACTCCCCTTCTCCCTGTTTCACGCAAGCGCTTCTGAAAAGCGAGGTTTGCCCTCGCGCTGCGGCATCTCTGCAAGCGCCTCTTGAGCATCCCTCTGACGAAGCAGAACGCTGCCAGGGAATCAGTGCAGGACCAGCAGGAAAACAAGCACTGTAAAAGAAAAAAAAAAATCAATCATTAATAACAACTTATGATCTTCTTTGAACTTTTCTGTGATTGTGGAGGAAGATCGAGGAGAGTGAGATACTGTTGGGGAAGGGAGATCCGTAGGCCATGCGTGGCGGTGGATGCTCGAATGGATTTCTTCCTCTGAAGCAGAGGGACGACGGCAGCAGGCACCCACGTGCACACCAGCGCTTGCACAGACACCCTCGATGGGGTGCACCTCTTAAATCCGTTTAATGCAGCACAGCCTGCTTGGAACGCTCTGCTGCACTGCAGATAGAAACGCGGAGAGCGGACATCCCTCTGTATATTGCTTTTGGCCGAGCTGCCAGATGTTTGTTTTCACAGGTAGCTGGAATATATATTTCTATATTTGTTTGAGAACCTGACCACACATAAACCATGTCCTTGTTCCCTTGCCACAGCTGATAAATGGGAATAAAACTTTGTTTGCATAGCACGATAGCGTCCATCCCCAGGGGCCCTGCGTGGTTACAGCTTTACAGCCCCCAGCCAAACGTGGCTGTAGAGCCAGCAGGCGCAGCGCTGCTCTCCGCCCTGCCAAGGGGAACGTTTTTTCTGGCAATTTTTGAAATGGCCACGCTGAAAATCTTTTTCTGATTTATTTCAAAACTTACTCTGAGGGTGGTGAGGCCCTGGCCCAGGCTGCCCAGAGAAGCTGTGGCTG